ACTGTGGCGAGCGACGGCGGCGCGGAGCACCTGTTCGATTGGGACCAGTCGCCATAAAAGCCCAGGGGCCAAGGTAGCTTTTGCTTCCACACTTTCTTGCACGGCACACACGCGCGCGCGTACAGAGGCCCCGGCGCAAACGACGAGGGAGAGACGTATATACACGGTTGAAAGTAACGAGCACCTGTCCGCTGGGCCGAACGAGAGAAATTTCCTGTCGAATCCGGGGGCCCCCGGTCATCCGGCGGACATACGAGCCGAGCCAGATTTTGGCGGAAGAAACGATCGACGATTCCTCGATGACGAGGAAGTGAAACCCTGCGCGAGACACGAGCGTGGCTCGGTCGGTTTTCGAAAAGATTGTAAACGATCGAAGTGTGGATTTCCCTTTTGGTAATACTACCTGCACCTACACCTGCTGGGATCGTGTTGTATTGGATGTCGATTGTGGACAAAATTATTGGAAAGGTATGATTAATTTTATAATGCTAAAATTTATATCGCAGTCCTCGGTGAACGATCGATCAAAAAGCAATAGCGAGAAGGCGCCACGTCGACCGAACGTCTTACTATGTATCAAAAGTTTCCGCCACAAAATACGCGCGGAAGAAGCCACTTCCGCCCACCTTTGACTTTCACCGACAATTTTGGCGCCAGGTAGACGGTGTATACGTACCCGAACAATTTCGCCTCGAAATTAGAAAAGACTTTGCCAGAAACTAGCTGTCGAAGACCGGGGGGCCAGTCTACCACGATCCAGAGATGAACAAATTAGTTATCTAGATAAAGAGTTTCGAATAACGTATAGAAGATAAGAAAAGTATTTCGTCATTTTCAATCGTTTAAACGTGGAAATTCAAGCTTTAATAATAACATAATGCTTCTACTTCATTGAGTCGACATTTAGCAAACAATTATTTAATGTCATTAACGCTTCAAAACTCCGCATGACGCCCTCACATACTGCAGCTTTTGACTGTGTATTATTCGAATAAAATTATTCCCAACTCAGGCACGATCGATCTAATCCCTGACGAATGGTATAGTAGGACGTTATAAATGCTCGTTTAACGAGAAACACCGAGGCCAAATATTTGACGGCGCGATACTGTGACCAAGAAGGGGAATTAGATCGTCCCACCATTCGTGGGGGACACTCCATATGGGCGATACTAGGGCCGAACAAAAAGCTCGAATCCGAAGCTCGTCGATTGAATCGGCCCCGCTCGATTTACGTGGCAAAAGCGCGTGGGATTTAATACGCGGGAGCAGGTAGCCCATTTGCCCCGGCCAATGAATTGAACGCGTTCCGAACACGCGTTTGCACGCCATATGTTGTTTGCTTCGCTAAAAGACCATTGTGCGTTCGCGCGTTCTCTGACGCCTGGTGAATGAACGCGCGAATCAGCCGCGGGGAGAAAGGAGATACACTCACACGCAGAGGACACGATCCTTTTATGAAGGACGATCCTTGCTCCGAAAATGTGCATTCGAAATGTTTCGAAAATTTCTTTATTGTAATAGTATCCCGAAATTTTTAGTTTAATTTCGAGGTTCTATAACCTAGTAAGCTAGATACAATTTGAAAATAATAACTGAATATTTGGCAAGAATTCTTTAACCGGGAATATAAAGAACTATTAGAATAATAAAATTCATTTGTATGAAGTAAGAATTTTCACTTTTACAAAATCATTTCTATGGTGGAAGCAATTGATGAATTCACAAGCACTGTTCTTCAAAATATATCTTCCTATGAAGAACCAAAAAATACCTATTTCTCTACAGAAATTCTGGTATCTAAAAAAATACCAGAGGTCAAAATGAGTATGTAATTTCTTCTCAAACTTACTGGAACCAATAACGATGCACTTTCTAAATATCTATCCACGACAATACATGTATTTCGCAAACACCTAATAATTTCAACGACTCTGACAAAGACACTATATTCGTCAATAGTTCCAGTGAAGTACCGCATTACATGCTAACGAGCAGAAACACATACTCACACTCGCACTATTATTACCAGAATGGCTTACAATCACAAGAATTCGTATAAAATATTTCATTACCTATCGTAAGACCAAGCAGTGGACACCTTCTTTTCCCTCCAGGGCTGACATTTCCACTCAACCCGCACCGAACGGATGAAAAAACCCCACTAAAATACCACGGTCGAAAGGTCTCGAAAGTGCTCCGGAACACATCTGACCACGCGAACGTGTGCCACGATCGCCGCAGAAAATGAGAAGAAAAAAAAAAACACCGCCCCCGATAGATTTATCTATCGTTAACACGGCAAATCTGTCGCCCCGTGGAGTATAATTACTACGAACGGTTCGGCGGTGGTGTGTGTGTACACCGTGGGGCCGTATAAACCGTGGGGGCCTGGTCTGGCTTGTCCGTCGGTCAGGATCTTGGGCTCGAATCGAATCGATTCGTCTCGAACTCAGGGGCCCCGGCCGGCCAACAATTACTTTTATCGGGCAGCCCCCGGGGCCCCCGAGGAGCAACAACGAACGATCGTACCCAACGGGCCCCACACCCCCCCCCCCCCTCCCTTCGATCGCCTCGGATGGAGAGATAAACCGTGGCCCCGCGCGCGTTGTTTGTACGAAAGACAAAGCGCGTTATTATGCGCGTCGACGAAAGTTATGCGTTGTTGGACCGAACGATAACGAGCTCGTTGCGATATTCGAGGTGTCCGCCCCGATTACATCTACCCCACCGTCACTGCACAATGCGATCGTATGTGTGTGTAGCACGTATGTATATGTAACACTCGACCGATTGATTCCGTGTCCGACGTTCGACTGATCGTTCCTTCGTTTAATTACGTGTATGTCACGGTAACAGTTTTGGGGTAAGGGTCCCCCTCCCCTTATTCCAACGGTTGGATTTCTTTTGTTCGACGATATACCCACGGTGTTTTCGGGAGGCTGTTCGATGTTATGAAGTTCGTTTGGGGATTGGAAAGGTATTCAAACGTGTACGATTCTTGCGGGAGGAGAGGAAAATTCAACGGTGTACAATGAAATATACACGGGGCTTTTTAGTTCCTGAATTATTTTCTGTGATTTTTGGGCAGTTGAACTACCGAGGATGAACGTGTTGGTGACAGCTTGTTGAAAATATGCAAATCGATAAATTAACGATATTCTTTATTTATATGCTGCAAACTACGTGACGAAGAATCTTAGAAAATACATTGTTACGATGTTTTAATCATTTTTATGGTAGTTTATGGACCAGTCATTTTGACTGTTTGGTAGATCTTGTGTCGATGGTTACGTGTTATTTGTAATGATTTATATTTTGGAACTCTCATTATGTGTTATTCAGAATGATTCATATTTTGAAATTCTTACCAATGAAAATAGATTGGAATGGATCGACGTAGGTGTTGGGTGGATCGAGCAATCAAAAGATTGACATTAGGTTTAAACTCCAAGTAATTTATTTCGTATAAAATATTCTCTATATATAGGTGATAATCTGTATCTCAAATAGTAGTTTACTTTCTTTACAAAAAAAGAACTAGAAAGAGTGGTACTCGCCCTGAGCCGTACGCCGTACAATTAATTACACGCGGACAATTTTACGATTACGCGACGGCGGCTCCAACTTTTTTTCATTTAATTAATATATCATTTTTTCGAGTGACTTCCCCGCGAAGAACAGCAATAGACCAGTTGTCGGAGTAAATCTCCTCGCGGCGAATCTCTGGTTAATTCCTCGCAACGTTTGTTATTGTACAATGACTAGCTTGTTCGAGTAACTTACAGTGATTTACAATGAAAAATAAAAAAAAATAAACGAACGCATAGAAAAGTACAAAACGATAAAGGCAAAAGAACAATAATATTTCGCAATCTCTCTTTTTCTCTCACGCACACGCGCGCTCGCTCACGCACACATACAGACACACAGAACACACATACTCGGTCTCGAATTCGCGGGAAAAAGATAAACAAGAAAAAAAAGAGGAGAAACACAATCAGGCACCGGACGATCATTAAATACTTATTTTTCCTGTCTCCGTCTCGTTCTTCCACGTATCGCGGAATTATAATACTTCGTTTTCGTGCGTGCCTTAACTGCTACGTCGATATTATTTACAGTCGTTCGAGACGCTTTACACGATCTTGAAAATGGCACTTTGGTGCACGGGTACGCACGCTTCCAAAATATCTCTCTCTCTCTCTCTCTCTCGGTCGAGTTGAACACGCGAGAACGAAAAGCGGCGTGGTAAACACTTTTCGCGATTTCGAATCATTCGAAAAGAGAAAACAAAATTGACAAATAGAATAATAATAAAAAAAAGAAAAGAGAAAACAAAAAAAGATATTGAAAATGGCACGGCAGCTTCACGGGACCGCGTCAAGCGGTTACACTTCCGACACGACTCTGTTTCCTGCCTCTCGAAAATAAGAACTCTTTTTCTTTTTCTTTTCTCATCGATTCCTCGCAAGGGGCACAACACACCGTCTCTGTCGTTCTAAGTACAATACACGTAAAAATCGGCTTCTCGCTCGTCGTCGCTCGCACATACAACCCGAACTATTTACAACGTATCAGGCAAAAAGGTGCACGGGTAGAATTATTGAAAAACTCGAAGGAAACAAATATGCACAACCATCTGTGGTGGGGACGGGTGGTTTGTAGATGATAAAAACACCGATCGCGATCGATCGGTCCCTTTTCACGTGACCCTTTCACCGTCGAGAGGGAGAAGTCCAGTTTCTCGGTCGTATCGATCTCGTTTAAAATTCAATCGCGTCGAAAAGGGACATGAATTTTAATCGAAAGCCCAGGTACTGCTCGAGGCGACTTGCCGATTATTCTCTATCTCGTCTCGATGAAATTCCACCGAGAGACTGGACCCCCGCACGGTTTCAAGACTCAAACTACCTTCTTTTCTCTCCGTCCTACATTTATTTCGTTTGTACTCCGGGATCAATTTAAGGCACTTCTCTCGGCAGAGTAAGAAAGATCAATTAAAAAAATATATAGAAAGGAACGTACGTCGAGGAAACTACGAAATCCTCGTTGAACCACCACGTCTTGCTGAACGTTTTGCTGCACGACGTGCACGAGTACTTCTTCACGTCACTGTGCGTCTGAAGGTGCGCCCTTAGATTACTCCTATCTGCGAACGCTCGGTTGCAATGCTGGCAGCTGAACGGTTTCTCGCCGGTGTGCGTCCTGATGTGTCCCTGGAGCAGCCACGGCCTGGAGAACGCCTTGCCACATAGATGACATTTGCAGGGCAGCGTGTGCGTCCTGATGTGCATCTTCAATGCACCCAAACTGACGTACACCTTCTCGCAATATTTGCACGAGAACGATTTCTTCGCCTGGCCTTCGGCCGCCGCGCAATGGAACTGTTGGTGTTTCGATAGGCCAGAGTACGTGGAGTAAGATTTTCCACAGTCTGGACACTGATACCTGGGCGAGCTCGACGATAGGGACACGGTTGAACCACTGGTCACTGCTTTCTCGATTTTTGGATTCACGATCGTTGGACCCGCGGACGTGCTACCGGCTGACGATCTTCCACTGTCGCTTCCAGGTGAGGACAAGTCCTCCGGTGTGACTGGAGGTGGTGATCTGAGCGATCCAGAGCCCAAGGAACTGGTTGGCGATAGACCACAGTGATCTGGACTCGCCCAATGAGCGTAACTCCTGGCGATCGGTCGTTGGATCGTCGGGCAGGTCAGTGCACCGTGTGGAGGCGGTGAAACTGACGGATGATGCTCTGTGGACGAGTGTGGATATGCTGGCAATGGATAAGACGGGTACAACTCGGCACCCGCGTGGTGATAGCGATGATACGCTGCTGGATAAGGCAGATAGTGCGGCGGGTACAACGGAGCCGCTCGAGCCCATGCTGGAGTCGCATAGTGCGACAATGGCTCCACCGGTGTGTTCAGGTTCAGAGGCTCCAATGGGGCCTTGCTGTCCATGAAGTGCAACGGCGTCGACGCGGCCGTCACCGCGGCCGTCGACGAGCTATCGTGCTGAATCACCTCCACGCGCGCCTTCTTCGCCACCGGGTGAATCGGCGAGATTCCGGCTGGCGGTGTGGTCGCTTTTGTTGGATACGGATGGTGAAGATGATGCACTTGGTGGACATGGTGCACAGACGGGGACGTCGGTCTCGTTGCCAATGGTGGCGAGTGAGAGACTTTGACGATTGGTGAAGGCGACCTGGACGGCCGTGCGCAAAGTTCTGGCTGGTGTTGCTGACGTTCCGCGGTTCTGCTGAGATCCTCGGGTTTTGTGCTGAGGTTCTCTGGCTCCGGGATATCGTCCATCACAACGTCAATGATTTCTTCTGAAGAGGAAATAAGAAGAAATCTGTTTTAGACGGATGCTACCTTTTCTTGATTTTTTTTTAGTGTGACCCGGAGAATCAAAGTTTTAATGTTAATAATCGTTCAAAAGAAAGATGAAAAAAACGATAATTTGAACTTGTCAGACGATGACGGGGAATGTTCAGGGGGACAGAGTAAGAAAATTCCTCGAGACTCACCTTTAATCACTTCAGGAACTTCTTCTTTGGGCAGCACATGCACCGGCCGCTTTTTAAGCGGGCAGTGACTGTAGCTGTTGTTCTTCTTCATGAAGCTACGGGGCATCTCCTCGACGAGCATTTTTCACACGTCTTGACTCCGTTAACTTCCACTTTCCGTACGATTACAGTCGGCTCTTCGCAGGCACTGGACACCGCGAAGGCGCTACCGCAGTTGTTAATCCAATTGTTGCGGTTAATAAGTCTTCAGTTTTTTCTTTTTTAATATTAACACTGATCCACAGATTCTCGTGTCGTACGAGAACAAAGTTCGTAAAAAAAAAAAATATAAAGTAACAATTGTCAAAGTAATCCAGAGACGTCACTGCACTGCGTCACACATGTAAAGCAGTCCTTTGGCTGGATCTCTTCGTCGTTGATATTCACTTTCTCGATGAGAGCACACTGAACGATCCTCGAAACAAAAATCGATCCTCACGGTACGCTGGTCGGAACTGAACTGAACTGACTGTTCGACCGGGACCGGGGTTAAAGGAACGGAACAGGGGGACTCTCGCGGGCAAAACGTTCGGAAGAGAGGGAAGCGAAAATCTACGATCTCGTAACTCTCAATACGGTTCGGCTGCAAGCCGGTCTCTGACTGGCAGGGGGGTGCGTCAGGGCCTTTTATAAGAGGTCACCCCACCGGCCAGGTGCAGGTGGCCCGCACGTGCTGCCCGACCAATGCAGGCCCGCGGGCCCCGCGCTGCCCGCCAATAGGGGACGCCCGGTCGCGGGCCATCGGCCAATCGGAGCCCAGGCATCTGTTCCGCCGGCTCGCGTATCCCCCCTCCATTTCGCTCTATGCAACACAACAGGAGGTGCAGGATGTTCGTGAGTGCGACGCGATTATCCTGCTGCGCTCCTTTCCTCGCTACCTTCTCTCTCGGCTCTCTCCCTTCCTTCCGTCTTTCTCTTTCACTCTCATCGACCCCCCCCCTTATTTTTTCTCCTCTGTTTCTCCCTTTTTCACCGACCGTCTCTTTCTCCAACGCGATCAACTGTCCTCGTCTTTTTCTCTTTGCGCTCTGTTACACCGCGCGTTGCGTTGTTGTACGGAGCAGATGCTGGGGCCCCTCCGCTAGTGTTCACCCTCCCCTCTCCACCCCGTTTGCCACCCTTCACCGTTTGAGACCTGGCCCAACGACCCGTCACCTCTACCGTCGTCGGTGCACATGCACCATCGATTCGTGAACACGTTTCTCTCTCTCTCTCTCTACCTTCCTCCTTCCTCGGTTTCTATTAGTGTGCGTTTTTGTACATACGTTCGGAGAGAGTGTTCCCTACCCTTCACCCCTCTGTAAGGCTATGTATTTTTCTATTCGAATGTCCGTTTGGTCTACCTGAACTCTTCCCCACTCTCTTTCTAAGAGTCGTACGGTTCAAATGTGTGTTGGTGCGCAATCTTGGAGCTGTGTCGCTTTGGTTGCCGCCTTTTTTTTTTACACGTCAGCCGCCTTTTCACGTGTAACACAAACGTAGGCGACGGTGTGCATGTGCGCGTTAGTCTCTGCGCTCACGAGGGCACCGCAATCCGCCCGGGTTCCCCTTCTGAATTTCACCCCTCGTCCCTTTCTCGCCTACCCCCACCCCCCTCCCCTCCACCGCCAGTTTCGAACGTAACGGTCGTGTCGCGTGCCACAGCATCGCCCACGCGTGCTGGAACCCACACACACATACAAGCGCATGCACGCGTGTCCTGTAGTTCACGATTCCCCCGTGCGCTTCTCCCCCTAGAGAAAGAGAGAGGGAGTCTTCGCGCAGGATTCACGGACGATGGCTGCCATTTTCGCGCTGAGGGGGAGGAGGAAACGTAGGAGATCCGGCTGGATCTATTAATGATCCCGCCACGTGACCGACGTCGAGATCAGACCCGATACTCGCTTTGTGATTTTTTTTTTTTTTTTTCGTAAATGGAGCCAGAAGCAGCCACCAGCCATTTATCGTTTCCGCGAAAGATGTGCCATTGGTGCGGTTTTGCTGAATGGGAATCGCTCGAGAATTCTCATTTTTACCTCAGAAATACAAATTACAGTGCCTGGGTATATTAATGTAACCACTTATCTACATTAACCCCTTGTCTTATAATATCAAGTCAGACACGTGACGACGATTTCAAAGTGGATTTAATAAACATGTATACCATTCATTTTCTGCGTGTCGAAGTGAAATTCTGTTTCATTGGTATTAATATTTAAGATTTAGAGTAAATAATACACTTGCCCTAAGAATAAAATTCCTTTGGTATCTAGGATCCAAAATCGGAAGGCAAGGGGTTAAACAAAATCTAACTGACACCAGTTGTCTGAATCATAATTGTTATTCTCTGATGCCAAATTGTTCTTCTATTATTATGGAAACATATTTTCTGAAAGTAAAGGTAATAGTTTGTGCACAGGTAATGCTGAAAAAAAAAATTGATTTTTCTATCAAATTTTCAAGTGGTCATATAGCTTCTATGTAGCACCGTAGAAAATTCTAAATAGAACGAAACATTGACCCTGAATTCCCAGTGGGGAAATTTTGATTCCTCTAATTGAACTTATTAAATTGAATTTCGACGTCTATCTGGCCCTTATTGATCCCAGGGAGTCACAGATCGTAAAAATAACCGGTCACAAAATTTGTCTGGCTTCAATTCCTCGCGGATTCTTCGCCTGCATGGTTTCGGCGCGAACAATACGTTAATATAAGCTCTGATCAGCTCCGAAAAACGTGCGCGACGCTTGTAGGTACAGCCTGCACAGGATAGGAGACCGAGGCGAACGACACACGTTGACTTGTCGCTTAATTTACGAGACAAAGGAGCGCTCGGGCATTCCGCTCGATCGATTTTCCGTTTCATTCGGCCGATGTGTCACCGGCGCTAAATCAGGTTATCACTGCCGCGACGGGATCGTTCGAATCGGCCGATTGAGAAACGATAAACCGAGACCGGTATGGCGAGGAGAGGGGAGAGAACGAATTTTTGATGAAGGACCCTTGTACTTGTCCTCGTAAACAGCTCGTTCGCGTAACGCTTTGGTCCTCGGGCTGGTTCCAACGCGGTCTCGATCGTTCGTTCGGTTTATATTTCGTAACAAAGGAACTGGGAATTTTCTGCTCGATCTTTTATTTTAAGAATAACTATAAAAGTTCTGCTATTATTTCCAAACGATAGAAAATATCTAATATACACAAAATATAGTAGGTATGTACAAGAAATCGATTTTTTTTATGTTTCAAGAACCTTTTCAAGATATTCCAAAAATCCTGGACATAATTTCTACATCTCACCATCGGTCCTTCCTATTCTCGTGATCTGATCTTCGATATAAATCACCAGAACGATTCCATGAGTCAGTTTCTGTATAAAGCCGTTCTTAACACTCTCCCAGAGTAATTTATCGCGCGATCAATCGTCACTAGACTCAACGCAAAATTCTCTAGTCCAGTCTATTATCGACGCACAAATTCACCGGCGTTTATACAGGACATATTAGTCGAAATCACCGAGCACAGCACTGCCACGTTACCCAATGCGCGCGTTATAAATTTATCCGATCGTTACGACCGACAGAGAGTCCGATTTCGCGTGGCGATAACCGGTGGTGGAACTCCTCGGAGGAATTATCCGGCTGACCAGACGGAGACACCGGACGATTCGAATCACTCGTTGCCGCGCTCTTGTTCCCTACCACAGAAACCGCGTTGCTCCATTTTCTCGCGTCCCGGCTCCCTCGCCGACTCGTCTTATCTCATCGACACCCACGAACCACTCCGGGTACAACGCTGTCCGTACACGCGAACCGTGTCCTTACATAAGTTCCCCCTGGTCCAGGGATGACCGCCATTTTATTCGAATAATAGAGCACCGAATATACAGGGTGTGCCAATAAAAACTAAAAATAATAAAATAACAATTATAGTTATTTAGTGGGCAACCAAACTGTGCAAAAATTATTCCTTAATTTAAGCCTATTCTGCCCTCTTTAGCTTAACTGTCCTAACGGACATGTTCGAACATCCGAGAAAAATCAGGTTTTATAATCTTAATAATCGTTAATAATATTTATTTGCATAGATCGCTGAATTCGTACCTCCTATGTATCCATCAACTCCAAGATATAAAAAAACAAAGAGACGTGTGATTCTGTCATAAATATCGATTTTTACCGAACCACAAAATTGTGAAAGCAAGAAGTTATTATCATGAGTTACGTGGAAGTGCATTGTTCCAGAGGAGACGAAACGTTTGCCAGAGGTTTTCCACAGGTACAAAGTTTCAAGTGACTCAGTGATGAAGTCGTCCACCGGCCTCAGAAATCGCGCGCTTCCTCAGCTCGCGCGATTGTTCCCCACCCTCCTCGGTGTGTCGCTTATCTCATCGACACCCACTAGCACGGAGGAAGGGGAGGAAGGAGGAACACAAGCCGTGTAAAAGTGTCTTGTCACACGACGCCGCCGGCCGACACGACCGACGATCAAAGGGACAGGACAAACAAGATCAGCAGCGGCCGGTCAGCGAGGTTCGGAGCCGACGCGAAGCGGATACGCTCCGTTGACTCAGCACGCGTACCACGGACTCATCAAAACCAATAACAATTTATATCTCGCCCGTGACAAGTAACTCGATCGACAAAGAGCCAAACAATTACTCGACCGTACACGCTGGCTTTCCGAGAAGCATCCACTTCCTACTCTCTTTTCTTCCGGTTCCCGTTCGTCGTTGCGGTTCGCGGGGCGCCTCTGAAGCGGTCCACAGATTACCAGGAACACTTGTCGGTTATTCTTGACAGTCAATGATTCATCTTTCAATTAGAGTTTCGAGATAAACGTTTCACTTCGGTACATTCCGCGATTTATTCACGACTCTTAACGGATTAAAGAGGATGCCCTCCGGATCACACTATCTACAAATTTCTCCGTAAAAATCTGTACTTACTGAAATATTATCGCTTATGAGCGCAGTAATGTCTCGATGAGTGCGACACACTCGAGTTTCGGAGCATTTATGGTAAAGCAGAAGAGTTTTCAGCCACTCATATATTTGTTTCTTGCACGAAGTTGAATCTCTGATTATCTTCTATTTACTCTGTTTTG